CTAACCAAGCAGTCCAGGCTACCACGGGGTTACTAGTAGACTGCAAATCATTTAGGACTTCTCTGGAGTCAGCGGGTGCAGAGCTGGAGTCACCATCACTCTGCACACAAGTGGCTGTGTAGGGCCTCTGCGCACTGGTCTTCTGCTGGCCACTCATGTCCACACTCCAGTAAAAGTGGGGCATGGCCCCATTTTATACTGACCCCCTGGACAGCTCCCCCAACACACACTCTGGGCAGCTGAGCCACAGTAGCTCCCCACCAAGGACTCTGCCTGGTATACCCAGGACAAGCCTGGATCAGCTTCTGAGCACAAGACAGCATGTAGTAATGCTCCTTGATCTCACCAGGTGTGACATGTTCTAGTACTTCTAGCACGTTGAGATGACCCTTCCCTATTTTTGGAGCCCTCAGTTTGGAGCGGGCAGCTGAGTGTAAATCCCAAGGTAGGACCAAGTAGCTCAGCACAGGGGCCCTCACATAGGGGCAAATGTTTATTTATATCTCCTGCTTCCTAAGCAGCCCCAATAATACCATGGTGGGGGGACCATCACTCTGATGCTGTGGCTCCACTCCCCACTGATACTGTTATGGGCATTCTCAGGGAATGGATGAGAGCTTAGGGCCCAAATGGCAGCACAGAGAACAATGTAAAGGGGGAAGCACTAGCCTGCAGGGGCAAGGGTGCTGGAACAGAAGCTGCAGCACTGAGAAAGTGAGCTTGCTACTCATCTTGGTCACCCAGGTTGGCATCCCCACCATCTTTTCATCAGAAACATACAGACAAGCTGATACCCCATCTCTGCTGAACCAAGCCCCAGAGTTGCTGGCCATACTGCATGGTGGCTTTTAACCCTTTCCTGCACCAAGAGCACACAGGCATAGAAAGACCCAAATGCCCTCTGCTTAGCCCTGAGGTGCCACTGTGCTGGAGTGAAGTCACCTTCCCATCAGAATATCTCACAGCCCTAGACAAACTCCGCAGAGAGATTTTGGCCCTTCCCTGGGACATGCCAGTCAGAGGGAATTCCATACACTTGAAAGATGCTGGAATGGTGGAAAGGGGGCAAGCAGCACAGGACTGGGGGACAGAGACGGGTAGGGTGTGGGTAGGATCTGATACTGGCCAGTACTAATAGCCCCCCATTCTGATGAGAATGAAATGCCCTTATAAAGGGAGTTATGTTCAAATCCTTGAGGAAGCAGGTCAGCAAATCATGGAGTCGTAGTTGTAGGAGCGACCACAAGGGTCATCCAGTCCAGCCTTCTGCACTGATGCAAACATGTTATATTCCTGAACCATCCCTGACAAATGCTCATCCAGCTGCTTCTTGAAAACCTCCAATAAAGGAGATTCTACAACTTCCCTAGGCAGCTTGTTCCACTGTTCTGTTGTTACCATTGGGAACCTCTATCTGAGAGTTCATCTAAGCCCACTCTGCTTCAGTTTAAACCCACTGCCTCGTGTCCTGCCATCTGTGGCAAAGGACTGCTGTTGTGCTCCCTCTTCTTTATGGCAGCCTTTCAGTTATTGGAAAACTGCTAACATATCCCTGCTTAATCTCCTTTTCTCCAAACTAGCCATCTGTAGCTCTCAACTTTTCCCTATATGCTTTGCTTTTCAACTCCTTTATCTTTGTTGTTCCCCTCTGCATGCTTTCCAGTTTCTCTATATCCTTAAAATAAAGAGACCAGAACCACTCACAGTACTCTGGCTGAGGCCTAACCAGCACTGAGCAGAAAACTACTATGGCCTCCCTTGTATTGCATACAATACTCCTATCAATGCAGCCTAAAATTGCATTTACTTTTTTAGCAACTTCATCACAGTTGCTGATTCACATTGAGTCTGTGATCCACAAAACCCCCAGATCCTTCCTGGCAATGTGAGTGCCTTGCTGATTATCTTCCATCTGCATGTGTAGCACCTTACATTTGTCTTTGTTGAATTTGATTCTGTTGCTTAGTGCCCAGTTTTCACATCTACCAAAATCCTTCTGAATACTACTCCTCTCCTCCAAAATATTTGCAGCCCCTCCCAGTTTTGTGTCATCTGCAAGTCATGATGAAAAGAGAAAAAGCTGCCCCCAGTGCCTGTGCATGTTCCCTTTCACCTCAAGGCAGAATGAAGAGAGACAAATGAGGAATGGAGCCTCCCCCCTACCCCCCCCGAACTGATTCTCTTCAGTGACTGGAATGGCATGCTCCTCCTCAGGAAGGGAACAGGCTTCTCAACAGCCTATGGGGAGGGGAGTGGGCTTGGGAAGGAGGCACTGGAATGGGAAAGGAAAGAAGGAGCTAAAGGGCAATGAAAGGATGCACGGCAGCTCCAAATCATGGAGGGAGGGACGTCCCAACCAGGCTCCTGGCAGCTAGTTGAGTCCTGGTGCCTCAGAGAAGCAGCACGGGAAGACATATGCCTATGTTCACACCTTGTGTCCCTGCCGGCTGGCTCACTAATCTAAGTGATGGGAGCTTGGACACACATCCTTGTTACCAGTCAGGAATGCAGGATGGGAGGGGAATGCTCAACTCATAGAAAACCAGTCTCAGAACAGCCAAGAGGAAGCAGAGGGAGAGGCGCTCCAGAGCCTGGGATGAGGGGAAAGGACAGTTAACCCCATGCACTCTGAAACTAACTCTTTCTCTAGTGCCCGGGTGTCTCCTGATTTCAGCCAGGGGCTCTATGTATGACAGGAACATAAACAGGGACAATGAGCATGAGCTTACTGTACAGTGAAGACTACTCTGCCCCAATGAGAACGTGGAGGAGCAGAGAGAAGAGAATGGCTTTGACAATGAACTTGATTTCCCACCAGATTTTTTCCATTTCAGAGCTGGCCAGCTCCAGATCCCCAGTGATGGGTCTAGCGGGCAACCTGTACAGTGGCCAGGCTTCTGTGGGGCTCATGCTGGGGCCAGGACGAGGGGTTATTCAAGCATATTTGCTATGGCCCAGTCTGATGTCAGCTCCAGTGCCACAGCAGAGCAGCTAACCAGTCACAGTTCCAAGGGACACAAGGACAAATGACCTCAAACTCTAGGGATTTCCATTTGTGGAAGCTTAGCCAGAGAGGTTGGGGTATTGCTAACCAGAGATGCCAAGCACTTGGGTCCCTACTGAAGTCAGTGAGATCTGGACACTCAACACTTCTGAAAATCAAGCTTAGGTTACCTCACAAAAGGCACCAAATCCAAATGTCTCTCTCCACCTCTGGGCAGGTCACTTTTAGCAGGAAAGGTACTGTGGGGTGGAAATGAAACTCAGGCCTTGATCACATGCTGCTGTTAAGGGTTCAACAGCACTAATCACAAGACAGCACAAGGTTAACCTGGAGCAGGTCTATGGGGTTAATTACAGTCTGCCTCCCTACAGTGCAGCTGCAAATGTCTAATGTCTTCTATTTCCTATGCTAAGTGACTGCACTGTTAGCTGCTGCTGCATCTAGCCCAAAGGAGGCAGCATTTCACCCATTTCCTATAATCCAGCAGCCTGTGAATCCTGCATCTCACGCTCAGACTGGAATGGCATGGGAAATACTTGGCATAGCAGATATTAGGCTCCCACAGCTCACTAGAGAATACCTCCTGAACCCCACTGTGTCTGCCAGCCAGGGCTATAGAAGCCAAGCCATTCCTCCAGCTGACATGGATAACTATTGCAGAACAGAGAGCAGCACAAGGGACTGAGCAGACAATGCCATCCACCTCCCTGACAGAGCAGGGGCAGCACTGAGAGCAGGATGCAAGGGACAGGAGCAGAAAGCCCTGAGGCATCCCTTGTGACACAGATCCTTTGGTAACACCATGTTTTGGGGCACCGCCCTGCATAGGGCTTATCCTTGCCAGTGGCTATGAGCTCCAGTGTGGGGGCAGGAAGGGAGAGAAGTGAAAAGGCTGCCAGGGGTCTAATCCACCTGTAGGCAGGGTCACGCCTGCAACAACACAGTATGTATATACCGCTGGGTCAGGGCTCCTGTGTGAGGTAGAGCAGAATGGGCTAACTGTGCTCATAACCTTGTCCCCTGCCCAGGCCAGGGTCTTTCCCCTCCTTGTAAGCTACAAGTGGCAGATGGGAAGGCTCATATACTCTTCTGGTAGGGAGGAACTAGGCTCAGCCCTTTCTAATACTAAGGAGCCACTGTCAAGGAAACACGGGGACCAGACAATGAACAGGTTTCACCCTGGCAGCCTCTCTGAGAAGCTCACACCCATGGGAGAGGGGGTACTTGGTAGGATTTGTTACATCAGACAAGTTCCACATAGGATCTGCTCAGCTTGCCACACCCAAAGCTGGGTGAATGCTCCGATGTCTGAGCCACTGCACAGCACAGGCATCCATGCACAGAAAGAGATGCACATACAGCCACGTGGGCACCAAGACAGATGTACGTGTACACAAAACACCACCATGCCCCTGGACTGCCAGCACTCCTGGGTACAACACACTCCTGCCACATTATAGGCACAGACACTCACATTGTGCACACATTCAGGTAGTCAGACACACTCAGACAGATGCACACATACACAGGCAGATAGGAAAAGACACACAAGTATGTACCTAATCCTGAGCAAATGGCCTGGGAAGTTCACACACACACATGCATGCACACACACACAGTACTTCTCTCCCCTGCGCTGGAGTTTCTGCGTGCCTTGTTCCCTATGGAGAGGCGCTCATATCAGCTCCGCTAGGTCCGCGTTTGAATAGAAGATGAAGCACTTGCTTGGAGGAGACTTTTGACCAATAGACGATAATAGACTTGACCCTGGGCAATGCCCTGAGAGCTAACCCTGCTCCAAAGGATAGCTGTGCACCCCCCACTCTCCAATCACGTACTGTACACCTGTCCCCTTTCCACCTACAGCCTCTTCCCCCAGCCCCTCAGATATTATCCTTGAGGCTTCCCATCCACATGAAGTTTGACCAGCTACTAGCCTCCTGTTCCCTCACCAGCCCTGAGGAAGGAGGGAGGCATGGCTGGATGTCTTACATACCTGTTCAGTTGCAAAGGCTGTAGCTCCTCTTTTTGGAAGCAGACAAAGCAGAATGAATCCATCTCTGCACTCTCAGAGCCAGTGCTCCAGGACAGGGGAACGCCAGACTTGGGAATGCCAGACAGATGTGGGCATCCTCTTCCACCTAACTATGCTCCCCTGTGGCTGGCAAAAGCCAGAGTCAACATGCTCCTGGGTCCTGGCTCAGCTGCCAGGAGGTATCACCTCACTCTTTGTCTCCAAAACTCTCTATTCCTTCTTCCAGCAGAGACAGATCCTGACTCTTCCTGCCCAGGACCCTCCAGAAGGCATCCACATGCCCTCACTTTTTCAGCAAGGAGACAGGCTGGCTCCTCACTCAGTGCAGTGGCTTAGTCCCAACAAACTCTCAGTCATCGAGGCTCCTCCCGTCCCGCACAGCCTCACTGAGTGTCTGGATGGGACCCTTACGCCTATCAGAGGCCATCTTTAGAGCTCTTGCTACAGTGCGGTCTGTGTGAGGGAGGAGATGGGATCATCCCCTCAGAAGGACTTCAGCCTTCAGAGGTACAGATGGAGCAGGGGAGCTCAGGGCTCAGCCTGTTACCTGAGGTGGGAGAATCTGAGCTGAGGAGTTTGAGAAGAAATCCTCAGCCCTGAATTTCAAGAGCAGCACAAAGGCTCCCAACTCCACCGCATCCGGATGCTCTTCAGAGGCGGAGGTGTAAGAACATGGCCCCCCATCTCCACAGACCAGTGCCAGATCTCATCTTGTGCCTGGATCTGAGGCGCTGATGTCACTTGTCCAGCAGGGACAGGAGGTCTCAGATGAACCAGTGCCCAAAGGCAGATCCTCCATGCCCAGTGCTCAACCTCAGCTGGAGTTTGCAGCACAACCTGCCTGTGGGAAAGTTTCCCCTTGCAGCCTCCAGGTTGCTTGGATCTCGTCAGCAACAGCCAGGGCTCCGGTGGATCCGTGGGGCTGGAGGCAGGAGGGCAGCAGTGCGTTGTGGGGAAGTGGACCCTCAGTGGCTGTGTGTGGAGCAGGGTTGGGAAAGCAGCCCAGTCCGGCGAGGCGCCCACAAGCTCTCACAAAGAAAAGTTCTGGCCCTGCTGAGACGCAGCTCTGCGGGGCTTGTCTCATTGACAGAGCAGCCGGCTCTGACAGATAAACCAGTGTGTGGGTATTAATAGCTCTAGATTCATGCTGAGAGGCTGGGAGGTTAACTCTTCAGCTGCCAGCCTCAGCCCTCGTTCATGCAGAAGACTCAGCCCTGAGCAGCTACTGCTCAAGACTGTTGTCCTTTGGCTTGACTTCAGGGATTCATGGCTCCCCAGTACTGCAGCCGCATTTAATTGAGATAACACCCTTTCAGACCCTGCCTGCCCGGTGATGCGCTACCTGTCCACTGTCTCTCAGGTTCCCAGTATTACTGTGAGTAATTCATCTGCCCCGGAGCACAGCTCCCCAGGCCCTGCTCTCCCCTGCATTTCCTGCACTGTCACCCTGGGCTCTGCCAGCTGCAGCAGTCCTGCTGCGTGCAGCCATTTCTTCAAGTGTCAGAGAGGAAGAGTTAGTCTCTGAAGCAGGCAGACCCCATCTTATTGAGGCTTTTAAGATCAAGGTCAGGACTTTGGATTTAAGCTCATATTTAATGGGTGATTTTGGTGGGATATAGGTTCACCTCCTCTTCCTGTGCTGGAAACATGGGAATGGCCATGACCTTGTGCTATGACTTTGGGTAGCTTCTGCATGGTGAGAAGGAGGACAGGGACCAAACACAAAACTCCCTGCAAAGCGCCTGTGGGAGAAACACCTTGTCCCTGATACAGAGCAATGCTAGAGTTCCCACTGCCCCTTCCCTCTGATGCGGTGGGCTGGCAAGCAACCTCCTCTGACCTGCACCAGTCAGAGGAGAGTCCCCATTCTAGAGGCCCAAAGGGAAGAAGCAGATGATGAACCCGTTGCACCTCTCCTTGTGCTGTGACATGAGCCTACTGATATAATCCAGGTGTCACTCTTGAGAGGTTTTCTTGCCACCCCCACTCCAGCCTCCTTGACCCCATGAGAAAGCAGGTGGTGTGACTCAAAGGATCATCAGGGAACACAACCACACAGAAAAGAGCTGTCAGTTCCTCTCCCTGATCTTTCAGGAGCTTTCATTCCCTTAGTAAAGGGGTCACTGAGGGACAAGCACAGAAACCCAACTGGTGTTCTTCTCTACCAAGGGACTGCACCCACAGTCCATTCCAGGGAGTAAGAAATCCAGTTCTGGTTCCCTCCTAACACCAGGATTCATAGTCTCTTCCAAGCAGAAGAAGGAATCCTGTTCCATTGCTCTGAAATCCATTCTGAAGGAGTTCAGATATCCAGGGCAGGTTCTTTCTTCCCCACGGGACAGAGCCAGGATCCATTCTGCATTGGCATGAAACTTCAGTACTGGCCCTTCTCCCAAACAGCGGGCACTTCATGTGAGCAGAGGAGCCCAGGCCTTTCTCTTTCTGCCTTCCATACATAGGTGACTGGTAGGGGGTGCACGGGGGTGCACATGCCCCACCCCTGACAGGGCTGGTGCCCCTCCTAACGGCCGACACTGATGCTGTCAGTAGGGCTGGTACCCCTCCCACAGGGTCGGTGGCTTCTGCAGGTGCGCCCCCCAGATTCAGGAGGCACCAGACATTCATGCTTCCATACACACCTTTCTCTCTCTGGCTGTGGTGACTCTTTCCATACACAGTCCCCAAAAGATGGTAGCTGAGTACTTGTTCAGATGCTTTTCCATTGCAGAAGTTGAGCTAAGCCTCCAAAGGCAGCATGGTGGTATTACAAAGCAAAATCCACATATCTAATTGTCATTTACTATGTGATTACACAGCACCCAGCACAACAGAGCCCTGGAAACAGAATACAACATAATATGTGCTTTGCAGCCATTGTTTCTGATATGGGCTCACTGGAGCAGGACTATGTATAGGACATTCATGGGAACCTGAGAGTCAGTCTTAGAGTGAAGTCAGCCTGGAAAGGAAGAAGGATCAGACAGAGGTGACCTCCTCTTTGGAAGAGTCCAGTGTAATGCTCAGACCACAGCTTTACTCCCCATCTTAACACCCCAGCATTGCTGTGCCAGCAATTTCATAGTGAGTCATTTAAAATCTGGGGTAGGCCCTACAATAACAATTAAATGCAGGCTTGGAGTGTGCTGCTTGTGGGAAATCAGTGAATGAGCAATTATTCATACAGTTAGTCCAAGGCAGGCTATAAATACCAGCAGCCAGGTGTGCACTGGGCTCTGGCTGGGCATGTGGTGCTTTTCAAAGTACCCACAGCTACTGACAACTGTTGAGTGATCTTGACCAGCTGCAGAGCACTTGGCCTTGGCCTTGACCTTGGTCCTGTACTGGGCTATCTGAAATCTCAGGGCCTGGGTGATTGCTGAAGTGAGCATGTGGGCTTCTTTGGGCACCTGACTTGCTGAGCGCTGATACGCAACAAGTGGTACCTGGCAATATCTCTGCTCCCGGATTTGAGTTCAGATCCTAATCATAGCCTGGTGGGTGCCCTCTTGCTATCAGTCTTCTTGTTGTTTGTGTTTCCTCACTACCAAGCCCATGCCAGTTGGATCTTTCTTTCAGCCAAATTATCCATTGGCCATGCTCAGGGGTACATGCAGGGCATCTTGCACTGCTCCAAGCCAGCTGACTCACCCTTTGCAGCCCTCTCCCTTCCCTGCATTAACAGGAGGTCTGGCTTATTTAGATTACTCACTTATCCCAGTGAAGCCCACTGAGTCCAGGTGGAGCCAGAGGCCTATGTTGTCTCAAAAGGGTGCACTGCTCCTCTCCCTGCACTAGCCAAGCAACTGGATGGGTAGCTCTGTATGTACTGCACACCCTACTGCTGCCCTTGGCCTCCTAGTGTACCATGGGCCAGCTCCTCTTACTTGAAACTGGGATAACCCACAGTCCAGCCTAACTGGGACATCAGTGGAGATCCTTTGCATTTAGGAACATAGAACTAGAAGCGACCTCTTGAGACACTGAGTCCAGTTACCTGCATTCACAGGTACATATTGGGCATGAGCACAGCTAGGAAGTGTGAGGGTTTCTCCTCTGGGGGCAAATTGTCCGGTATGGTTTTTGCCAGTATGGTGGACACCAATGACAGGAGTTGGGGGTCTCTGTGACAGTGATGCAGCCTGGCCTCTACACTGCAGCTGCCAAGACAACACCCATCTATTTAGTCATAGCCATTTAGTGATAGGTCTGTCCTTGCAGGACAACAGCACAGTGGGGTGCAACCAGGCTCCCAGCCCTCCCACAATGTGGGCTATGTCATTTGTCATTGTGAATTATTTAGCATGACTTGAGTTGAAATGTATCTCCTTGCTCCAATCCCGCCCAGGCTAATGGGAAAAATCAATGGCTTTTTAATTTATAGTGGCCGGGAGGCTCCTAGCTCCATCTTCTGCTGCGAATGTTCACCAAGCTGCAAAGGCTGCTGGGTCATCACCATTTGCCAGAGGGAGGGACTGCAGAGAGGGGATAGCAAGAGCTGAGATTGGGCTCCCCAGAGTAGGATAGGGGGCCACCCAGGCAGAAAAGTTTCTTCCCCCACCCCTATCTCATTTCTTCTGAAGTGGTCCTAGCATTAGCTTGTCACTGTACAGTGGTGAGCTGTGTACATTTAAGTGCTAGATCTACTGCTTAGAACAGAGGGCTAGGATTCTGAGTGCCTGGGTCCTATCCTTGCCTCTGTCTTCACAGCATAAACTAGTCTCTGACTGTTGAGAGTTAGGAAGAGATTTCCCTGGGAATTATCTATCCCCTCACTGCTTCCTACAAAGTTCCCTGCCCTTAGCTTTCAGTTACCTGGCCCCTAGATCAGACAATCCAGCCTGACATTTCCTGGGCCTATGACTGCTCACTGTGCTGCCCTTGAGTGGCACTGACACCTGGATTTGGAAGCCTGGGTATGGAAGGTATGGTGTTGGCACAGGAGCTGGCCTCCTGCAGGTACAGGGAAGAGCAGCAGTCCCCAGATCTTTCATTTTGTACTGGCCATATGGGTTGGACTGAGAGAACTTGGATTTTATCAGCGCAGCACAAAAACCTTTTCCTGCAGTTTTGTGTGCAGTGAGTGCATGCAGTGTCCTGCCTGCCTGCCTTCTCTGCACCCAGAATTAAACTGTGGAATCACCTGTCCTCACACCAGCATAGCTCTGCAGCTGCAGAGAGGAATGGCTGTGAGCCACCAGTATGTGTTGGTTTCCCAGTGGCTTTAGCAGTGGGTGACATGGGCAACTGCCCAGGGCACCATGGTCAGGGGAGCACCACACACACACACACACACACACACCTCTCTCCCAATGCCCTGTCCCTGCCTATTTAGCTCTGCCTCTGCCTGCAACAGCAGCACTGACTTGGGGGGTGCAAAAATACAGGGTGGGGGGCACCAAAATACAAGTTTGCCCAGGGTGCCATTTTCCTGAGGCCAGCTCTGCATGTTAATGGCCCAGAAGTGCTATGACCAGATGCTGTGTTCCTCCTTCAGAAGTTAGACTAGTTAGCTTTTAGCAACTGGGTAAGCATTTATGAATGCACCACAGGGAACACCTAGAATGAACATGTTCTCAATGAATTATTAGCATACTGGGATGCCCTGCCACCTTACTATCCACTACAAATACTGGTCTATATTAGGGCTGTGCAAGGCCTCGGACAGAGCTTCGGATCTGGAGAAGCTTCAGACCCTTTGGGATCCAAAGCAGCACGTCCAGGTCAAAGCATTGGCCTCACGAGGCTTCCCAAAGAGCTTCGGAGCTGCCTTGGAGCCGCCTTGGAGATCCGGCCATAGGGTATAATGGGGAAACAATAAAATATCTATAACTTTGTTGTTTTTTGTATATTTTGGATGAAATGTTCAGGGTGGTAGACTCTATAGAGAGGATGAAGTCTACCAAGTTTCAAGAAGATCGGTGCAGGGGTTTGGGGAGAACTGTACCCCAAATTCTTGAAAGCAAAAC